CCTCAATTAGTGGAAAAGGAAGGGCGCCTTTGGCGTCTGGATATACTTAGCAACAGAAGGGCGCCCTGTACGTGGGGCACGAAGTATAGGAAACTTGCATGGTTAAAAAGAGGGGCGCCGCCTACGTTGGGCACGACTTCCGCCTCATTTTTACAATGCGAGAACTCTATCTTGTATTTCTAGTATCTTTGGTGCTACTAGAAACTTAGTACGATCTAGAGCGTCATGTCAATAATTCATTAATGCAAATTTGGCAAGTACGCCTAAGTGTAATTAAAAGTGCATCAGCAGTATCTTTTTCGAAACAGTATTCATTAATTTGTAGGCATATTTCCTAATATAATGCATAGCATATTGCAAACTGTGTATTTATGACACATATTTGCATATTTTTAATGTTTCATATACCTGCACTTTGTGTAAATAGGCCTATAGTCATTGTTATTTTTTGTTATTCGGATTTGTTGCACTTTACTTATTCATGGAGAAATAAGGAACTAAAGTCATCTATAGCGTATTATTAATATTTTACCATACGTCATTGTTATCTATTGTATAATATGATGTATTTATGTTTGTTGCACTTTTTACGTATTCATGGAGGAATACAATTCATCTATTTTATCTTGAGTCATGCAACTACCTTCGTGCCCAGATATCTTTTTGAACCCACTCTTGTTAGGCCTACAGGGCATAAATATGCCTTTATTATCTCTTTTTTGAATATAGTACCTAAAGTTTTCTTGAGCTGGTAAGAGGATGCCGAAGGTCATAATCTCAAAATCTTCCTATGGGAAACATTACCACACATGCTCACCTCCCCCCCCTCCCACTTTTTCCTCCGGCAACGATCAAGTCAGCTATCCAGGGATCCACTGTGAACATTTTGCTAATAATAAAGCACAAAAAAAAAATGCTGTGAAGTTTTTAGGCCTATATACAGGCAAAGTTACTCCTATCCTATATTCAGGCCACAAAACTAGATTCAGAACTGGGATTGTCCGGTTGGAGCAAATATTTTAATATAGATTAATTTTGTAAAAGTATCGTACGATACTATATACAGTATATATTGCACTAGGTATTTTTATGATAATAAAATAGCTATATTGGTATCTGTATAATAATACATTAGTATTATAGCCCCGCAACCTGGACTCAGAAATACCAGCATGGTATGCGACAGAGTTACTTCAGTAAAATAGTAATAAATTACAAATAATTCACTTTATTATTAACATTTTTTCTGTCCCCGAATTTTAGACTCAGAAATATAGGGATGGTGTTCGGCAGGAGTGGTTTTACTATGGATTACTTCATTAAGGAGTAATTTTGTTGACTGAATAAAGCTTGGTTAGCCTGATCAGACTCGGCCAATTTATATGCAGAAGCTCCGACTGTATTCTCGAACCAGAGTCCCTGGAAACATAGGTACGCGTTTACGCCACTGTTTAGAAGCCATATTTTCAAATTTTGCTCACATCAGCCCCAACCATGTTCCACTAACTTTAAATCTTGTGTTCTCCAATGTACATGATGGAGAGGGGTAAAGGCTCTACAGTTTTTCCAGCTGCTATTTTCCGGCCATGAGAGTATAGATTCTATATCCAACTTTAAATCATGTAACTGTCTCTTGAGGGGAGGGGTAGCGGCTCAGTATCTATTTTCTAGCATCCATGCCAAACAAGTTGTTCACCAATTGTGGGCTGTCGTGGATATTATCAGACCCCCACCAAATTTAAAAACCTGCATCCGTAGATATGGGTAGCGGGTCTGCAGTTTAACAACCAAATTGTTAAGCCCCGCCCACGTAACTATAATGGCCGGACCACTTGCAAAATGCTTCTAACGGCTATGATTTTCATTACCCATCCTGCTTGAAAGACAAATATTCTGCTTAGGATTATATTTTAAAAAACAAACAAACAAACAAACAAAACAGAGACTCGTCTGCATCAATCTCGAGTAGTTTGGCAATCCGCCAAACACAGGATTTGTAAAATATTCGAATAAAATTTTAAAATCTCTGAAGACGAACGTTGTTTAGAGTATCGATTATCGAATTTTGATAGGCCGGCTACATGATATTTAACACACACACACACACACACACACACACACACACACACATACACACACCCACACACACACACACACACACACCATCAATCTTTCATACCTTAATTTTGGATTGCTCAGTAAATATCCAATAAGTTCTTTCAAACGTAGTCAACAAGATTCGTCGGTTGTCCGAATTCGCACTTTTTTTCTGTCTGTTGCACTTCATAACTTTTCACACATTGTAATAACATGTCGCACATTGAGGACGAAGCTATACGTACGTCCCACTTTCGGACTTTGTTTCACATTTGTTCCACATGTGTTTCACATTTGCAAATGCAGCCCGCCAAAGATTTTGATCCGGCCCGCGAAACATTGCTAATAGAAATCATTTTCCGGCCAATTTTTAGAAAAGGTCTTTCTGTTTAGAGCAAAACCACATAGGCACCCCTAATCTCTAGCAATGTTTACAAGAGTGTGGCTTTTTCTGAGTGTTGCTCATTGTATCTAGTGGTACTCGCATGTGGAGGGGTAATGGGGACAATGGATTAAGCGGGGCAGACACTGATGATGCGATGTCTAACCATTTGCGGCACCTGCAGGCTCTTGGCATGTTATTCTGTTGAAAACACTGCTCTGAAAACTAATTTTTTAGTCTGAAAGTGCAATTTCCAGAAAAGTAGAGAGGTATCTATGTTAAAAATCCACCTCAATCCCAAACACTGGTGAGTTGATATTTTCGTGGTAGGGAAATTTCTAGTGGCAGGGTAGGAGAACCTGGAGTGCAGGTTTTTTTTTTTTTTTTTCAAAATTCTTAAAGAAAGAAAAGGGAAGAAAAGAAAATTAAATTCAAATTTAACTGAGAGTGACATTTCCGACCATCTAGGTGCCATAATCATACATTTTCTTGCTTCAGCCCCAACCATGGTGGGGCTGAGGTTGTATTTACCCCTATCTGTGAAGGTTGTTCCCTGGCCCATTATATTTCGAATTCACCGCTATAAAAGAAAATGGAAGTACGCAATTTATGTCGGTTCGACACTGGTATCAACAAATCGGAACTGGCTCCCAGCTTAAAAAGGTTGAATACCAGGGGTCTAATGCATGTCGCACTTGTGCTTAATTGAGCTGTCACAACATTTTGAATTTAAAAATGTCGTAGTTGCAAACACGAATTGAGGGCCTGTCTTTCATACTTCCAAACAGCGTGTAGCTAGTTCCAACTTTAAGGTCACCTATTTGTCGCACTTTGTAATAATTAAAGCAGGGGTGGCGCCTGGAATCCCGAAAGGGGGTTTAAGTTCCCCGACGAGAGAAAAGTGAGCGTGGTTGGGCATCGCTCAATATAAATTTTTTCCCTCCCATACGATTTGTAGTTTTTCTCCTCGACAGGGGGAGG